AAAATCATAATAGTAATATAAGTTTTTCACAAACTTAATGATTAATAATATATGTAAATTGCATAGAAACATTTTTAGCACCTGTGTTTCAGAAGATGGTCATTACTTTAAGAAACAAAACAGAAGGAAAGTTTCAGAAGTGTGGTAAGCAGTTCCAAGTAACTCAAGTCATTCAGAAAAGCACAGACTGCTTAGAAAATTAAAATACAGACTTTTCTTCTAGAATGTAATAGATGTGCACCTGAAAAATCACTCATTCTGCAAAATGACACACTAAAAATAATAGAACCTTTGATTAAAAAAATATAAGGTTTGCTCACACCATTCAAAATATCTGTAACTTTACATCATTACTTTAATTCTCTATCGCATTCCTAATTAAATATATATATATGTATTTTTTCATCAGTAAATGTCCAAAAACATTTGCATGTAACATCAAAGGCTGCTAACCCTTTGCATCATACCTCCCCTTGAAACTCAGAAAGACTTAAAGAGTGCATGTGATTATAGCAGTTTCCTCTGAATTAAATATCTAGTTCAAGAGGTTTCTTTAGAACTTGTTCAACTCTAATGTAGCTTTATCAAAGAGCTTAACTTTTGAAAAAATATAGGGTTCTTTGCTCAACTAAAACAATTTTTCTTTATGCTGAAGTAATAGGGTTGTACAGGATTTCTAGCTATTCATATCTATTTGTATTATTAGGTCTTTATTCATTGCTAAGATTTTCTGTTTAATTGGGATCAAAGCTTATACCTGATTCCCCTAATAAGTTAACATGCTAGAAAAAAAAATAGTATGAGTGAACAGGGCATTAAAAGTCCAAATTACATTAATATTGACAGTAATAAAGGAAATATTTTTGTAGAAAAATTTGTAATTATAGAATATAGTGTATGTTTGCTCTAAGAATGAAGCATGTTCCTATTTTTGCATCTGTTCTATATATACCAAACACTTTTAGGGAAATTTACTGGGATAGCCACATTAGAGACATATGTTATTATTTCTTATATTTTTCTTATGCTTATATCCTACAGTTGGCTTAAACTTTTGTCTCTGGATCACTAACAAACATCTTCATTCTTGCAAACAATTTGTTTGGAGGGAGTTGGTGAGGAACTTTTAGGGTCAAACCCATCTATGCTCAGGGATTACTCCTGACTCTGCACTCAGGAATCACTCCTGGCAGTAGTGCCCAGGGGAGCATATGGTATGCCAGGAATCAAACCCGGGCCAGCCTGGTGCAAGGCAAATGCCCAATCCACTGTACTGTCACTTCAGCCCTGCTAATAATTTCTATTAGCATCAACTAGATTCATTTATGTTGTTTCTACAACAGTATTTTTCCCCATCACCTTTGTGAGTTGCCTATAAGGCACTTCTTCTGTATTTGTCTTAGTACCAAAAGAGGAACTGAGACTGAAAAGTATGTGAGGAGACTGTTGAAAGATAAGCCAAGATCATTCTGATCAAATAGTTTTGTGTGTTCAGTGTATTTTGTTTTGTATTATTATTAAGGTGTTGCACACTTTTTCTCCACCAAATAGACATTATTTTTAAGTATTTGCTATATTTTAATTTTATCACTCTCTTAGTTTAAAAGCACTTGATCACTTGATATCCCGTTACTCATAGATTTCCTCAAGCAGGTGCCAGTCACGTCTCCATTCGTCCCTGTTGCATGATAGCGTAGCCCAGTGGCATCTGCTCGTTGTAGGAACCAATCGTTCAGAGTCTTGATGAAGAACTCTGACCATCTCATAGGTGGACGGACACGTGATCTTTTGATGTCCAGTGGAATCCAGTAGGTAATGGCTCTAGTCCAGCGGTTGTCTCTAAATCTCATTATGTGTCCGGCCCATCTGATTTTCGATGCCTTGGCAAAGGAGACAGCGTCCCTGATTCCTGAGCATTGACAAAGTTTGGAACTCCAGATTCTTTCTCTCATTTGAGGGAAGTGTGGTACTCCGAGCATAGCTCTTTCGATTTCTCTTTGAGAGACCCGAATAGCGTTTTCAACCTGTTTTCATAGGGCCCAGGTTTCTGAGGCGTATGTTAATGCAGGAAGTACAGTGGAATCGAAGAGATGTGCTCAAAACTGGAATTTATTTGTCCTCATAGATATTTCTTCCACGTGCTTGAAGGCGTTCCAAACCGCTCTCTTCCTCCTGCGCAACTTAAGTGCCAGGTCATTCATCATGTTGACTTCTCGACCTAGGTACACATAACTGTTGCATTCAGAGATGGTCATTCCATTGAGAGTGAATGGAACGTCAGAACAAGGCTGTTTCTCATGAACATTGTCTTTGTGAGCTTAAGCTGTAATCCTACCTTTCCACGCTCATGGTCGAAATCGGTCAGCATTTGTGCTGCTTGGCTAATGTTTGGTGTTATTAGAACGATGTCATCAGCAAAGCGGAGGGGTTGTAGCTGCCAACCGTCTATGTTCACTCCCATTCCTTCCCATTCTAGTCGTCACATGACGTTCTCGAGGGTGGCACTGAAGAGTTTCAGTAAAATGGCATCACCCTGCCGTACCCCTCCCTTGACATTGATGATCACTTCTTTGTAGAATGGTGAGATCCTGGTACTGAATCCATATTACAGCTCACGGAGGATCCTGATGTATTGAGTTTGAATGCCCTGATTGGCTAGGGCTTCAGTGACCGCTTCCATCTCAACAGAATCAAAGGCCTTCTTTAAATCAATGAACGTTAGACAGAGCGGCATCTTGAACTCCCGAGAAATCTCAATGAGCTAGATTATCATGTGAATATGGTCGCTGGTGCTGAATCCTTTGCAGAACTCGGCTTGCTCGCATGGTTGTCTTTCATCTAGTTTTCTGCCAATCCTATTCAGGATGACTTGAGTGAACAGCTTGTAGACGACAGACAACAGGCAGATTGGGCAATAGTTGCCAATGTCATGTATGTCTCCCTTCTTGTACAGTAGAACGGTCCTGCTAATTTTCCATTGGGATGGAACCTTGCTTTCAGACAGCTAGCCTGTGAAGAGCCGAGCCAGTGTATTGATGAGAACTGGCAGCAGGTTCTTCAGGTGTTCGGGTCTAAGCCTGTCTGAGCCAGGTGCACTTTGTTTCTTTACCAATGAGATGGCATGTCAGATTTCGGAAGGCAAAATATTGGGAACAACATATCCATCATGCAGAATTTTTAGTATGTGGACAAGTGGGCGTGGTTATTAAAGAGATCTGAGTAGAAGTCATAAATAATCTTCTCCATTGCCCTTCTGGAAGATGTGATAGATCCATCAGGACGTCGGAGGGCAGTCATCTTGGTCTTGTAGTTGGTGAGGGACAGGTAGGCGTTACGAATGCTTTTCCCAGCTTCTGCCGCATCTACCACCACTTCTGCTCTTCTCTCTTTGAGGTCTTCCTTGATAGCTTCTCTGCACTGCTTTGTGAGCTCAGATGTTCACTTGCGGTTGCCTGAAGCATGTGCCAAACCATGTTGGCAAATAAGCTCGAGAGTTTCTGAGAGAGGCATTTTTTGTTTGTTTCTTTGTTTGTTTGTTTTGCAGTTATCTCTCTTTTGGCATTCCTCCTCAAACAATCATGGAGGTTCTGAACCAATCAATTGTATTCCTCATCAATGTTGTCAACAATGGCATCTTCCCATGTTGTCGCAACAGAGACAAAGAGCTCCCAGTTGGTGGTCGTTCTGGGAGTTCTCTTCTTAAACTTCACATTCCTTTCTCCTTGCTCTGTGAAGTAGAATTTTGCACGTAGGAGACAGTTGTCAGATCCCGTTTGGAATTTTGGGATGACAGTGACATCCATCAGGCAGAACCGTCGACTGAATATGATATGGTCAATTTCGTTGTGGAAATGTCCACCTGGGAGACTTCCATGTCCATCGTTTAGATTCGGCCTTCTGGAATTGTGAGTTACCATGGATGGTCTTGGTCGACATGATGAACTCAGACAGTCTGTCACCCTGTTCATTCCATTCTGGGCCATGGGTCCCGATGTGGAGTTCTTCAGCTGATCTTCTCGGTCCTATCTTAGCATTAAAATCACCCACAATGATCTTGTAGAAGGTGTTGTCTTCTTTATAGAACTTCTCTAGCTCCATGTAGAACTTCTCAATTTCTCCTTAACCGTAATTGGATGTTGCTGTATAGACAACGAAGATAAAAACTGCCGGCAGTGAGCCACATCTATTCATGTGTAATAGTCTGTTTCGGGTTGTTAGGCATTCAAATGAATCAATGTTCATTGCTACGTTCGTGTTGACAAGGACACCGACACCATCAACGCCTCTTTTGTCGCATTTTCCAAGAAATAGTTCTCCAGTTTCGGAAACAGCATGATGAGATTGTTGCCTTCTGGTCTAGGTCAGACCAATGATGTCGTACTTGATCTTTCGCACTTGTACCATCAGGTCCTCGATGGATGCATCAGATGCCAGCGTACGTGCATTGAAAGTACAGTCATTTTCGTCTTCCTTCATTTTGGCAGCCTAGTTTGGTCTTGAGATTTCGTCAGCCTTTCCTTCCACATCCTTCTCAATGCTTCCGTATTCACGGTCAGGAGAATGAGACCATTGTATTTACTGGATTTGGCATATTGCAAACACCACAGATAGCTTGCCAGGCTCTGCCATGTGGATGGGATATTCTTGGTAGCCTGAAAACACAAATAAACTTTACAGGTGTTCCTATTCAGGCATATGTGCTGGTATGATACTCTCAGTAGCCTGCCGGATTCTCTGAGACCGAGAATTAGAGAATAAGAAGTCGCTTCCGGGAGCTTGGTGTTATAGTTTCTGAATCCTGGCCATTGATGGGATTACACTGCAGATGGTGGGTGTAACTGTCTAGCTACTGGAAGGCCCAGTCCCGAACCATGCAGGCTTGGCGATCTCAGCCCTGGGTCCTGCACACCTGGGAGTGTGTAAACACACTACATTGCTTTACTTACAAGTTTCATGCATAATTCTGTTGAGTCACATTTTTATGTCATTTTTTTTTTTAGCTAAAATTGATGATTCCATTACTTTAAGTCCTGATGTTACTGATATTGCACCAAGTAGAAAATGGAGGCATCGGAGACAAGAAAATCTTGGAATTGAACCAAAAATTGCTTCTCAGGAACAACAACTTCAAGAAAAAGAAAAGTAAGTTATTCTATTACTTACTGTAGTAAGTTGTTATAAAATAATTCCAATCTAAAGCTCTAAAATTACTTCTTTATTTCAGAGTTTAGTTAAGCTAATGCCAAAAAACTAACATTATGCTTTTAGAAATTATAAAGTGTTTTAATAAATATACTTACCTGCTAGTTTGTTATTTTTCTATAATATTTAAAGCAGAGGTATTAAATATATAGGTAGATTTTCTTCTTATGATTTTGATAAATTAATTAGAAATGGTGTGTAAAATACTAAAAATATTAGCATCCAGCTTGGGTTCAGTAAAGTGTTTCAGTCTGATTTACTGCTTTGGATAGACCTATGTAACGTTCAGATTAACCTCTTTGGTTATGCTTGAAAAAATTTTCAAATACAATATTTCTTTCTAGTCACCTATTTAATTTTATGAAACTTTTTAATTATATACTGAAATTTTAATATGTTTTCCTCTGTTTCAGTTTGTTCTTGTGTTCTTCTGAATTTGCTATAATAATTTAAAAATATAAATAATTGATATTTCATTATGTAATAAGAGTTTTATAAGGAAACTTATCTGTTCAATCAAAATTAATGAACAGATCATTTGTATATGTTTGTATGTCAAGATAGTTCATTTATTCTCTAACTTTTGCCTTAATTTAACTAAGAGTTATTGTGCAATAGTTATAGTAAAGATATTGCAAGCTAATAGTTTTAGCATATAGAATAAGGACCTAGAGGACTCCCAACATTTTATTATATAGACACACAGTCCATCCTTTCTTTAGTTTTACATAATATGGGAATTAAGAATTTAGGATAAGTAAAATAATTTAATGTCAAATGCAGAAGATTTTGAGAATACAATTGTTTTTATTCAGATAAGTCATCCAGGGACTGGGAGACAGTACAACATGTAGGGCACTGGTCTTGCATGTGGCTCACCCAGATTCAATGCCAAAACAAAAATGAAGCAACAATGAAAAAATAACCAATCATCAAAAGGGTTTGCTAAGTAGTTTATAAAGATTAAATTGTTCACTATCACTGTATCACTGCCATCCCATTCTTCATCGATTTGCTCGAGCGGTCGCCAGTAATGTCTCCATGAGTCCCAGCCCTGAGATTTTAGCAGCCCTTCCTTACTCATCTTTCCCAATGCTGCCATATTGGTGGCTCTTTCAGGGTCAGGGGAATGAGACCCGTTATTGTTACAGTTTTTGGCATACCGAATACACCATGGGTAGCTTACCAGGTTCTGTTCACTATATACCAAGTTTATTATTTTAAGATTAATTAATATATTTTTAATTTTTTAGTTTTTAGTTTTAATACTTCCACATAAATAGAAATTTTTAGGTCCTCAATTTCTAACTTATTTTTTAATTTTATTAAAGCAACTTAATTTACAAAATTACTCACAGTTGAGCTTTAGACATACAAGTTCTAGCACCAATTCCATCACCAGTGTCAATTTCCTGCAGTAGTGTCCCTAGGTTCTCTTCCATTCCCTCAGCCTGCCACCGTGACAGGCACATTTTAAAGTTTGGTTGTTGTAACTTGGATCTCATGTTTTCAACAATGTTGACTCTGTGGTTTGGATAGACACATCTGTATCACTTATATTGCTGAGGTCCTTGATCCCTGATACTATTACTTAAGGATTAAAGGCAATAAATCTTCTAAAGGTTTGATAAAACTCACCAGTTTGAACCAGGACTTTCATTCTTGAGGAGATTCTTAATTACTGTTTGGAGTTCCCTAATTGTGATTGGCTTATTCAGATTTTCTGCTTCCTCCTTTCATTTTTGGTTGCATATTTTTTTCCAAGAAGATTACATTGTAAGACAGAGTCATTGAGCTGAAATAATTCTCATATTTACAAAATATAACTTTCAAATTAACAAGATTTTTGAAAATGCTGAGTACTTTATGAATTTTGTATGTTAACCATTATTTCCACTCTTATTTGTTTTCCTTATGTTCTTAGCCATGATTTTCTAATGAAAGATTAACAGAATGAATGCATTGCATAATTTTTATGCTTCTCATAGTAAAGGATGACTGCAGGGAAAAATTGTGTTTATAATTTCCATTATCATGGCATATTAACCATTTCATCCCATTAAATATATCTGAGAAGGCTGCCTTCATTATTTGTTTTCAATTCTAAACATATGCTGGAAACTTTTTGTCAGCCCCACAGAATATTATTTTCTCCATATATCCTGCAGTTGCATCTTTGTAGAATCGTCATCATTGAATATCTACCACGTGATTTCATATTGACTAATGTCATGCACAATAGATAGTTTTTTTTTATAGAAACAAAAAATCCTGGCTAGATTTTCATCATTCATTCATCTGTTCATGAAGCTTCATTTTAAGAGATGTTTACATGCTAGGAACCAAAGATATATTGTTCAGTAAATAGATATAGTCTGTATCTTAAAAAGTTAAGTCTGTCTAACGTAGGAGACAGGCAGTAATCACATTTCATAAATATATACATATAAAAATACTTGAGATTTCTTGATTAGGGGTGGTCATAGAAGAGGGATTCTGGTTTGAGGAATCATGCTTTGAATTTTATTTTAAGCGTAAGTAGGAGTAAAGCTGTGGAGTGAAAGGCAGAGTGCTGAGACAGAAGCAGCATCCTATGGCATGTTTTCATGTGGAATATGTGAGTGTGATGGGAGCGGATAGAGCAAGGCAGAGTTAGAAAACTGAGGGCTGCTGAAGCCAAACCAAACCTAGTTAAGGTATGACCATTCTTGAGAATTCAACTGTTTATGTGCATGATAGCATTTATGTTTATCAATTCTAAAGAACTTTTCTACTTTTTTTCCTTAACATTGATACATACTATTTTTAACTCTAAAGTGTTGCTAAATATTAGATTCACTGAAAAATTCTAATAATTGGGTAATTTCAACATCTTTTAAATATAATCATCTCAAATGAAGGTCATTGTATTTAACTTATTCCTTTAGCTTTTTTTTTTTAACTCACTTTCAAGCTACTTAATTTTACATTTTGGATTCCCAATAATAACAAGAAACTAGAAAATTGAAAACATACTGAAACTATGTAGTCATAGGGGGAATAGCTTAAATAGGCATATGTTAGCAGTCTTGAACTGCAGAATTATACTACAGTTTTGCCTTTTTTGTTGTTTATTTTTTTACCATAAATGTTTCCCTGAAGAATATTTTTAGATCTTTGATGCTTTCAGCAAGACTCTGAAGTTTTTGAATCTGGTACATATTGATAAATATTCATTAAAAAATTAGTGTGACTAATGCACACAATATGACTATTCTTGGAGAACGCTCACACTGTTCTGTCAACTAGCATAACACGAAGAATTATTTCACATAACCATAAAATGCTATATATTCCTTATTTATTCTCTTCTATCACTTTTTTTTAGTTTACAGCTCAATTTATTTTAATTAATTTATTTTTGAGATTCTATAATTTACAATATTTTTAATAGGTTTCTCATGCATATAACTTCTATCATTTTAAATTATGATTTTTACTGATTAGTATGTCTTTAATTATGTTTATTCAAAAAAGTAAACCAGCTGAAAGGCACTACAGGAGTTATAAAATTAATTTTGTATTTGTAACATTAGTATCATCAAGTAAAATCTTGAGAATAAACAAAACTTTTCATAAAAATGTAAACACAAATTTTTTTTTTAATTTTTATTAGTGAAACACCATGAAGTACAGTTGTAGACTTACAAATGTTTGTGCTTGGGTTTCAATTATACAATGATCAAATACCCATTCATCCACCAGTGCCCATTTTCCACCACCACGGATCCCAATATCCCTCCCACCCCCATTCCCCCCATTCCACCCTACCTCTGTGGCGGGGCATTCCCTTTTATTCTCTCTCTCCTTTTGTGTAGTTTGCAAAAGAGGCATTGAGTGGCAATCATGTTTGGTCTATAGTCTACTTTCAGCATGCTTCTCCCATCCTGGGAGGATTCTCCCAACACCCTTTATTTGGTACTCCCTTCTCTATCTGAGCAGCCTTTTCCCCTAACATGTGTGGCTGGCCTCCAAGCTATGAAGTAAAACTCCTGGTACTAATCTCAGCTATTCTTGGGTGTTAGTCTCCTATTTTGTTACTTTATGTTCCCCAGATGAATGCAATATTTCTATGTCTGTCCCTCTCTTTCTGACTCATTTCGATTAGCATGATACTTTCCATGTAGTACCACCGGTATGTAAATTTCATGACTTCATCTTTTCTAACAGCTATATAGTACTCCATTGTGTAGATGTGCCAAAGTTTCCTTAACCAGTCATCTGTTCTCAGGCACTCAGGTTTTTTCCAGATTCTGGCAATTGTAAAAAGTGTTACAATGAACAAACAAGTGCAGATGTCACTTCGACTATACTTTCTTGCCTCTCTGGGATATATTCCCAGGAGTGGTATTGCTGGGTCAAATGGGAGCTCAATTTCTAATTTTTGGAGAATCGTCCATACTGTTTTCGAAAAGGGCTGAACCAGTCAGGATTCCCACCAGCAGGGAAGGAGGGTCCCTTTCTTGCCACATCCGCACCAGCACCGGTTGCTTTTGTTCTTTTGGATGTGGGCCAGTCTCTGTGGTGTGAGATGATATCTCATTGTGGTTTTGATCTACATCTCCCTGATAATTAATGATGTAGAGCATTTTCCCATGTGCCTTTTAAGGCAAAATATTTTATATGTGAAATAGCATGTATTTTGACTTCATTATGTTTCCAGCTTAAATTTTTTTTGAGATTAAGCCTTATCATGCCTCAAACAAAATATATCGAATTTTATATATGAAACCGTACCAAGAATCACGGTCGACATTGGCTAGCATTAGCATTGCTTAGCTAATATTTGGTGTTATTAGAACGATGTCATCAGCGAAGCAGAGGTACTGTAGTTGCTGACCATCTCTCTTCACTCTCATTCCTTCCCATTCCAGTCATCACATGACGTTCTCGAGGGTGGC